AAAAAAAAAAAAAAAGGATAAAATCAAGATGTAAAGTCACTTTAAAACAGAGCAAAGAGTTTCTGTAACACTCCCAGTATTTCTTAAGGGTTCTGTCTTGTCTCCGTGAAGAAATGACTTTGTTGATAAACTCTACTAGTTTGTGTCTCAAAAAGAACATCAGTGCATGCATTCAAGACAGAGATCTCCAGATGTCCCTTTCATCCAAGCCATTCTGTGATTCTATTATATAATTAAAATAGAAGATACAGATCAATTTTTAGCATGAAGAACTTTACATTTATCACAATATTATAATGCACTTCCATGACTTTTGTTCAAAGTTCTGTCTTGGAAATACATTTACTGAGACAACTTGCAGGTTTGGAATTTGGAACTATTACTAAACTAGCTGAGAACAGGAAATGAGAAAAGTGTCAGACTTAAGGCATTTAAGTCTTTCTTAAGTGACTGTAGGTTTTAAAAATATTTAGGGTAACCTTAAGAAGCATGACTTGATACAGGTTAAAGAATTAATAGTTATTTAACATCATGTGGTTATTATAAGCACATATATATTACTTAGATTCTGACTCCGATTCCATAATGTGCTTAATATTCTGGCTGCTCCTGCTGAAGTCATATATATTTCTGCAGCGTTGAAGTCAAATTAAAATAAAATACTTTAGGACATAAACATGAAAAATGCCTGAAGTTAGCTGATCATATTTAGAATTACCAAAGTGATACAACTTCTAAATTAATCTATTAAATGTAAAACATCTGCTTGTGTTAGGCTGAGCCATTTGTACAACCAGTAACAGTTTTGGTTCCATTCATCTTTGTCAAAGTGAGCTACTTCTGCTTGCATACCCTAGAGAGCTACCCCCATTTTTCCAGCTGTGCTAACATTAGTGATTTAACAAGGATCCAGGTAACTCTTTACCTGGAGCCTTTTGTTTTCTCCTCAGGATTCAGCTTTTTTCCAAAGTTATTTTTAATTCAAACAACTCTTCAGTCACAAAAAAGCAGTGTCAAGCACAAAATAACAAGCTGTGCATAGAGGCAGAAGCTCAGCCATTGCACCAGGCTAACTTGCCTTTAAGGCTTTCCAGCTGGAGCTGACAAGCACCTGGCTAGTGACAGGCTGGTCTGTAACACTGCATGAGCTTGCTTGTTTCTGTTTGCAAATTCCCATGTAAACATGGGTAAAGTAAAACAGAGCAAATTCTTGCTGCATCTTGTCTGTCAGATTTAGTCTCTGTGGATTCACTGTGCTGATAAACAAACTGAAGCTTTTAAGATTATCACAAAACAAATAAATGCTCAGTCCTACAGCGCTTTTCTCCATCTCCAACATCCTCAGATAGCAGAATTCCAAACACACAAATTACATTGGTTTTTGTAACTGCTAGAACGTCAATCATAATGTTAGCAGAAAATGAATATAAAATAAATCCTATTTCCTTTTAGATGGATACAAAGATATATGGGAATGGATTCAAACTAAAAGAAAATAGATTAGATTAGATTAGATTAGATTAGACATTAGGGAAAAAAGAATCTTTGCTGTCTAAGTGGTGAGGCACTGTAACATGTTGCCTGAGAAGTTCTGTATGTCCCATCCCTGGAGGTATTCAAGTCCAGGCTGGATGGAGCTCTCCGTGACCTGGTCTAGCAAAAGGTATCCCTTCCCATGGCAGTAGAGTTGGAACGAGATGATGTTTAAGGTCCTTCCAACCCAAACCATTCTAAGATTTTATGAATATATGACAAAAATCTCCCTGTTTGCAATCTCAGCTTTTCTGTGATATGTGGAAATGTTAAGTCCCACAAGTCACTCGTGATTCTGGTCCTGATTAGGTAAAGTTCCTTAACATACAAATATTGTGCTTTACCAAAATTAGATATTTGTATATTTTTTCATATTTTCCGTGTGCTTTATAGAGCAGAAGTGCAGCTAACAGTTGTACAGGAAAGAGTGTTCATAAGCAGCATTGCTCACAATGTGGAGCTCACAGCACAGAGGTGGCAAAGCTATCCTTATCCTATCTTGCCCCTTCCTGAAAATTAACGTAGCTTGCATTGTTTACCAAAAGAGACTGAATTCCTTTGAATAATTTCTGAAATCTAGTCTTTGCTAATTGTTCTTCATCTATTCTCTATTTTAAGTACCAGCTACTGCAATTAATTGTTTACTACAGCTAGTAAAGATTTGTATTTTGCCTCAAGCAGATAATGTAGAAGAAAAGCTTAAACAAACTTCACTTCTAAAGAGAAAAATAACTTACTTTTACAACTTCTGTTGCAGATAAAGACACAATCATGACAAAAAGCAATAAATACATCTTAATAGAAGAAGCAGATAATTTCTAGTATTAGCCTTGACATCTATCACAGTACTAAAATATATTTTCATCTAATTGATTGAATCTTCTGTTTTAGAAAGGCATTCATCAAAACACCTTTCAACAGTGAATACAGGTATTTTTTGGGTGCTGTAAGCTTCAGATAGAGCTGACAGCCAAGTCATGAGCTGATGGAGTTTTTGAATTCCTACATATTCATGAAACCGCATAAATACTTGAAAACTATACACTGAAGCTAATAAAGAGTAAATTAACACCAACATTACGTATCTGTGATACATATGATATTTATTCAGACAGTAGTTACTGCAAAATAAATATATAAAATCTTGACAAAGAATAAGTCATAATAACTCTCTGGGAAGAGAGAGGGAAGCTAAACATGACTTATATAAATGATTCTTTTCCTGTCCTAGAAAGAAGGTGAGGCAACTAGATTGTATTTTCCAGGTATTTAGAAAAGTTATATTTGGAATTATCAGAAGGATCATGATAAAAAGATTTGCTAGACACTTTCCTGTAATTCAGGGAGTAACAGGAAAGTAGTATAGCACTTAGTTAAACACTTTATTTCTCTCTGTACACCATTTTTTCTTAAAACATTAGTTTTTCTATCTTGGTTTTTATTTAGACTACCCACCTGGCAATGCAGAAATGTGTGCTTTTAGCTGAATGCCACATTAAAACTACACTAAACAAGTTTTAGTGGTTTATGCTTTAGCATTTTTTTCGCACACTCTAATGCTAATATTCCAAATGTTGCCATATTCTGCTCCATAGTTCTTAGTCTTCATATGTGCAGGTGTGTCCATGAGAAACAAGCACCTTGCCTCAGTCACTGACCTTTTCATTCTGCTTTTCATTCTGGCTGCACTGGTGCATGAAACCTTGAGCTTACATGAGGACTTTATCCAGAATTGTCTATCATCCTCAAAGGAAAGTAAATTTTACCTAGGTTAATTATTTCTAAATCTACCATAGATTGTAAGGCTACTTTATTATTTTTTTTCTTTCCAATATTCACTAGTTTATTTCCTGTCATTATCATATTTAAGTGATAATACTTTTGGGCTGATTAGAACTCAGTACTTTTATTCCTTTGTATGCAGCTGTTTTCATTTTGATATTCAAAGGAACAAATTATGTTAATTTCTTCAGTAACTTATCCCACTCAAATTCATTTTACAGTTCCATGTAGTGAGCAGCAGAAGCGTGATCCCTCAGCTAGCAGAGGCCAGGAAACAATAGTGTTATTTGAGTGCAAATAGTAATTCCTTTTTTCCATCTTGTTTTTTTTTTTTTTTTTTAATTTCGTTTGGCTTGGATTTGTGGCTAAAGGCAAACAACATTCTATTTCACTTACCCAGAAACCAGCTGATATATTGAAATAACCATTTTAGAAAATATTTAATGTCCTTTGTTTGCTGTAAATAAAACAGGATATTGACACTAAAGATTTTGTTGATACTTATATTGCATCTCCACCAGAAGTGGCCATATTGTAGCTGTGCAAACACCCAATGAACTAACGAAGACCATGCCATTAAAATTGACAACACGTGAATTCATAATGTCAGAATATTTTTTATCGTGTCTGTATTTCATTTTAAGTTTCCCACCATTATCAATACATTTGAAATTCACTGTGTAATAGTGATCATTGCTAATTCATTCAGAACTGTCATGGAAATTTCCACCAAAATCTCACCATAATGCCTATTTATGAAAACATTTAAACCCTATCCTTAAATATTATCAATGAGTTGGAGTTAAACAGTTTAGCTATAAAATGTCACTTCTGTTGTGATCTCTGAAAATGTGTTATCACAAACACCAAAAACTTCAGATTACAATAATGAAATAATAAAAATGGTTTTTCTGCAGTCTTGCAGAATTTTCATACTTTAACTCAGAAAGATAATTTTTAGCCTTTGATTGTAATAATGTAATTATTTTCTGATTTTATAGGAGGGAAAAAAGACCAGTGTATTTAAAACACAGACAACAATAATTTTCAAGTTTGTTTGAATTATGTTTATGTAATAACAAGCTGAAATAGGTAAATTAAAAATGTATGAATGTATAGAGCTGCAATGAAGCATTTTTACCACATTTCCTGATTGCTGTTGTTGGCAGGAAGGATTATACTATTCACTGAAACCTTGGACTGGATTTTATTAGTATTTTATTCAGTAGGATCTTATTTTGTAAGCAGCTACACTGGCTACACTGTTAAGAACATCTGGCCTTAAACAGATCTAAAATTACACCACAGAATGAGAAACCACATTTCAGATTAAAAACCTGAGCCTTTATAGGTTGTGGTGCAACTAAGCACCATAGAGCTGCTCACTTACTGCCCAGGTGGGATGGGATGGGAAAGAGGATTGGAAAGGTAAAAGTGAGAAAATGCTTTCAACTTTTTTCAACATGGGTTGAGATAAAGACAGTTTAATCACCAAAGCAAAAACTGCACACAAAAGCAAAGCCAAAGAAAGAATTCATTCAATACTTCCCATGGGCAGGCAAGTGTTCAAGTATCCCTAGGACAGCAGGGCTTCATGATGTGTAATGGGATACCCCAGTGTGGTCAGCTGGGGTCAGCTGTCCTGGCTGTGTGTCCTCCCAGCTTCTGTTGAGCACCACCTGCTCACTGGTGAGGGGCTGTGAGAGGCAAAAAGACCTTGACTCTCTAGAAGCACTGCTCAGCAATAACCAAAATATCTCTCCATTATCAACTCTCTTTCCAGCACAAATCCAAAACACAGCACTAGAGCAGCTACTATGAAGGAAGTTAACTCTTTTCCAGCCAAAACCGTTATGGTAAGTAATTTAATTGCTAAGATGTTCAATAATGCTTCTTTTCTATGGAAATTAATGGGCCAAAAAGGCTTTAATTATTTTGCACTGGTTCAACATATGTGTGCTGTGATATCACTGAAAATAACTCACACATTAGTGAAAGATGCATGTTTGAATGTGTTGAGAAATAAAAGATACCTGAACCTAGGGCAAGGCTTCTGTGTACCCAGGTGTGAATAAAAGTGAGCTTAACGCTTCCAAGTATGTAAAAACTCCAGCTATTATTCTGGAAATATTTTTGTTTCCAGTACCGTGGTTTTTGCTAGCCCAAGGCATCTCAAAATACACCAAATATTAAATGAAGACACCTGAATTTTACTTTTAGAGTGGTATTTATTTGCAAAGAGATAGATCTAATGTAATTTCAGTTTCTGTAGGATATTTCTTCTGGCCTTGAGCAGTAGCAAAAGATGACAATGAGTCATCTCATATATTCTGTGTAATTTTCATTGTCTAGTGTTTTTGTCTCAGATATTTCGGGGCATCTGCATGTGTTTAAGTAACTTCATAGAACTCTAGATTTCCACTGACAAAAATGAAATCATGAAGGTGAATTTGAACAACGTGGTCTCATTAAAGGCTCATCTATATGCTCCTGTATTTAGATCCCTGCAACCTGGAGCTGAACTGTGCCACTGAGTCTGGATTTAAAATTATTCCATTTTGGTTTTCTCATTGATTTGAGCTGTAGTTGAAAAATACAATCTAAAAGTACTTCTGAGCCTAGGACTGAAAAATTTAGATCCTATTCAGTGGCACCCAGCTCTTCTAAAAACACCTTTTTATGATTTTGGACACTGTTTTGCAAAGCTAGATGAGTAAGTATGTGAAATAATCAAGTAGGGTAAAAGCATTATTAGTGGTACTTCTTAAATAAACTCCAGTAATCCAAAGCCATCAAGGGTTAATCTGTGTCACCGTAACAGAAGACAGATACCTGACATTGCAATTCTGTGGCAAATCATTGCTCCAAAATGCTGTCCAAACCTTTTGTGGCAGTGTCACTTCACATCAAATCCAAAAGCAATCAGCTGTGAGACTATGTAAATATATTTACTTTTTGTTAGGAGAAAAGGGAAGAGGGAACAGATCTCCTGATTCCAAAATTAATCACTAGACATGTAGAATCCCTTTGGTTCACAGTATTGACAGGTCCTTTCTCTGTCACATGAGGACCAGTTCGAGTAAGAAAGCCAGGCCCTGCTATCCCACCTGACTTTCATCTCACAACATCCATTCTCATAGGACTTACTGGTAAGGTGTTTTTTAATTTAATTTATCATTCTCATTTCAGGTAATTTACTTTTTCTCTTCCCCAATGCCATCATTGTCTGTGTATGAATGTATATGCTCCACAGCTTCTTTGAAGAGGAAATTGCCTTTTAGCTTCTTGGTTTCGATATGATATCACATTTCTTTTCTTTGAAAAGTCTAGGGGCATATACTAAGGCAAAGTGAATCCAATTATTGCTGCAACCTGCTCATTTTTTTCTTGCCTTCATGCTTCTCCAGAACACTGTGCATATATTTCAGGCATTTCTAGTTTATTAGAATTGCACAATTATTTGTGGTACCAGTCTGAACATGTCCTTGAATTTGTTACGGGAGGGCAGCTGTGAGGAGTAAATGGATCCTTATATTGTATTAGGTGTAGTTTTTGCCTTCAGTGATGGAGTCCTTTGTCCTTAGAACCTAGTTTAAAACAGCTACAGTATTCTTCACCAAAATAAAAGGCATTAGGAGTACTAGTAATTTCTATGTTAGAACACCAGAAAGTACATTTGGAAACAAATATCTAATTCTTTTTTACATCACACATATTAAACAAAATTAGTTTTAATGATCTCTAGTTATGAAAATGTTGTAATCACATTTAAGTCATTTGACACTTTGAGATCATTACTTTAAAAAATAATTAGAAGTCTGTTACTTAAATATTCTTTATTTCTCTATATTTAATATTTCTTTATAGTAGGAATGAAAACATTCTTTCTTCCCTGCTCTTCAGGAAATTTTTGTGTGTTTTTGACATTTTCCATTTATATTATCATGCCTTCTCCACAATTCCTTTCTATTAAATAACCTTGTTCTTCAATTTATTTAGTACATATTTTTTTCCATGCCAGCTGTTATTAATGACAAGAACAGCTCTAATTTCATTTCCAAATTTCTAGATGCTTGTCATTTTTATTTCTTTTTCCTTGGTAAACCTTTGATATTTGCTTTAAAATTAATGTTTTTCATATTTTGAGTAAAATCAATATTGCTGTTTTGATCACGTTTATTACATATACAGGATACATAATAAATATCTAGACAAATATACAACCAAAGAGTCAGTATGTATCTACCTATAATTACTGAAAATAGGCTTTGGCATTCTTTTCCTGACATATCTTTTGTAAAGTTCAAGGCAAAGGTCCCTGCCAATGTTATTTTAATTATCTAAATATCATGATATCTAAAGAAAACATGCCCAGTATTTTTTCTTACTTTTAAATAGTTTAAACTATATCAGTTTTGAATGTAATAGGAAGATGATTCATAACCAAAATATGTGTTGTCTGAATTTAATTTAGTATCGAAAGAATATTTTTTCCTTTTTTTTGAACACTGTAAAATTTTCAACCTGAAAAGGAATAAATGATCACATTAAAAAATAAAAAAAAAATATACAACCAAACAAAACTTTTAAAAAATTCTCTGGAAATATTCTAAATAACATTATTTTGAAACACCCTTTCTGACACAAACTGTGATGTCAGTGTTGCATGTGAACAAAATGGTTAAATGACTGAAATCAGGAGAACATTTTAACCATGTATACTCATTTCTAGTGGGAATTAATTTAAAAAGATTATTTTTCCTAATTTTATTATTTGTGAATCAGGCCTTCAACTGAGATAAAAGAGTTGGATACGTTCCATGTAACTGAAACAGAATAGTTAGACCAAAAAACCCCAACTACCCTATTAACCTTTATCACATTAAGATGTAGGTGGTGGCATTCGATCTTATTTACAATTAGTTGCCAAAAGAAAACAGTGATCCATGTGAAGTTCAAGTTGAAATAAGGGGCTTAAACTGGCATCATAGATTTTTTTTTTAAATTAATATCTTTTCAGAGAATAAACCAGGTACTATTTTGTTATTACCCATATAGAGAAAATTAGCAAAATTCTCATAAAGTTTAGCCTTCAATTAATTATGTAAAATAATTGCTTCAGGGAAACAAAGGCAGAGCTACTAGCCTGTTTCAAGACTGAATATTTTTTCAATATTCTAGGCTAGGTACATGGGCAAAGAAATCCTAAAACTCAGTAGTGTGCTATTAAAAAAACTCAACCAAGCAAAAACATGGTAAGTAGGGGAAAATTTTCAAGTTTTATAGAATTCAATCTTATTTACATACAAAAATTTATAGGAAAATTACCATCATATTTCCAGTCAGCTTTTATTGGACCTATTTAACTTGCGTGTTCAACCTCAAGGCCACTAAATATTTTAGGTTGATTTTTATTTTAATAAGAGTGGAAAAGTAGACCAACACATATTTTTGGCTATAGTAAGAAGTGTATTCTTGACAAGAACTATTTTGTAGTGAAATTTTCTGTTTCACAGTTGTTTATTTTTATGTTTTATCAATAAAAGACTAAAATCTTTCCTATTTCAACCACTGTGCACTACTAAGCAATCTTAACACCTTTGGACATTAATTTCTTGTTTCTTGAGAGATGATCTAATTTGCTTAGCTGAATATGAGATAACAACATGTGATACTGCAGCCCTTTTTTTGTTTGTTTTATAGTTATCTAACAGACAAAACTCGTCAGAAAGGAAAATATTGCAAGCTTTAAATATTAGGGTAGGTTGGAATGAATTTGAATGCTAATCAAGCTGGTCTCAAAAGATAGACTTTTTTCCATGTCTTAATGCAAGGTCTTTCAAAATCTAAAAATCAGGGATTCAGCTGCTTTGAAACCTGAAGTTTTGTACTATGTGATGAAGTATCTACAGTGGATTGAACTTGGTTGGGTGCCACACCAAGTTCACCATGCCCACCAAGCACCTTTACAACTCCCTCTTCATAAGCAGGATAAGGGGGAAAATACAACAAAAGTCTTGTGGATTGCGATAATGAGTGGAGTGTCTGTAGTGATATTACAAAGAGTAATGGGTGATTAAAAGAGGAGACATTTTTTTAGAATAACAGGAATTCTTTACTGTGAGGGTGTTGAGATATTCAAACAGGTTGTCCAGGGAGGTTGTGGATGCCCCAACACTGGCAGTGTTGGATAAGGCCATGTTGGATAAGGCCTTGAGCACCCTCCTTAAGATCTAGTAGAGGGTGGCCCTGACACTAGAAAAAATAACTGTTCACCACAGAAACACAGAACTTGTAGAATCTTAAAGAAGAAGCAGCATTTGCAACATCTGGCAGATGGAACTTAATCTCATGTAAGAAATAAAATTTAAAATAAATTACGACATTTTCTTCTTCCTCTGCACTTTATAACTTACAACACTTGTTTACTTATATCTTTACATTGTGAGATGTATTTAATGCATTTAATGCTGCAGATGTTTAACATTCATTGGATGTAACAGTCTCCATTGCTACAAAGCAGAAGCACTAAATCACAGTGAAACCATTAATGCAAAGTCTTGATCAAATGGCAACAATAAATCATCTTCAAAACCATTTTTGTCACTTCTGTTCTTCAGTTTTCATTAAGGCCATTGAAATTTTAAGTAGAATCTTTTGCAAGTGAAATTTGTCTTTTGCCAAGTTTTAACTTTTGAAGGTGATCAGACTTCCTGGAAACATTAAACTGTGCTATAGATGAATTGACTGGTTTTTGAAGATGAATGGAAATCAAAGACTTTATGCACTTATTAGATTATTTTTTGCTTAGATATGAAATATGAGAGAAAATTTTAATTTGCTCAGTTTCCTTACT